AATGTAGAAATGCTCTTCCCTGTGGGGCACGACGATCTATGCTGCCGTGTTAAGGAAGAAAGCCGTGCAAGCATTCGAAAGTTGCAAAATTTCCTTTGATGAAATGTTTATTTTTGACAACATTTATGTAGACATTTCCTCGAAATTTTCAGATATTTTAGATTAAATTGCGTACAAAATCGACTGAAAATTTCGGAAGATAATATACGACATTTTTCCTGTAATTTTTGTTTTCATCGGAGTAAACTTGGCAACGTCTGAAGGCTTATACGGCGTTCTTCCTCAGCAAGGCAGTATGGTCCGTTTGTTCAGCTGCCGTTTAACTTTTCCTTGAAATAAGTTCGCCAAATAAATAGCGAAAAAGTTCATTGAACCTTTTTAAAAAGAAAGTTCATTAGGGTTTTCCCAAAAATTGTCTTCACCAGTGCTAACAGTCTGGCAGTATTCGCATGTTAACACGGCGCATTTTCCTAGGAAGGAGGAATAAATATCTCACGAGTTCAAACCATAATATAAATTTCTCAAAAGCTAGGGGGTACTTGCTCCTGATGAAACGAGACTTTGGCAATTATTATTTCATAATGAATTGGATTTTACGCGTACTGAGAGGAAAATTTTATGCAAATCTCAGCCGTTTATGACCATCAGTTTCCTGGTGTATTTCCAGGTGTATTGCCAGGAAGTATCCTGGTGAAGTCATTGAAAATACGTACTCTGCATATTACAGACAATATCAAGCAGCGGATAACGTGATCCGCAGCTCAGCCATTGTCAAAGCAGAGACTAGGAAGTTATAAGTCCTCCTGATCATTCTGTTGGTGAGAAAAATTGTCAGATTAATTTATCAGTTAAATGGAAAAATTCCCCAAGAATTTGCCTAATTGCACGTGTCTCGTTGCAAACACCTAACCATAATTTTGGGGAGGGAGAGAATTTGGCCCTTCAACCCCTTTCCCCCTCCTAGTGACGTATTTGTCTTTTTTTTATAATTTCCTGTGATATTTACTTTTTTCATAGAAAACCTAAGCAACATATCACCTTGGAACATTCAAACAATTTTCCCGAGAACAGACGCTATTACTGTTGCGTTCTAGAACAGTGATATGCAGTGATGTATCTTCATTGGTGACTTTGTAACAGGTTATGTTATTATTATTTGGATCCAATTTGATTGAATGTAGACAAGTTATGGCAACATGACCACCAATAACGTCGATAAAAAAAATACTCATACAATTTTGAGCTAGAATGTTGCTCAGTTTTCCAATACAAAAATAAAGCCTGCGAATAAAATACGTAACGTGCAACGCACGTAATGCTCGTAGGGGGTGCCTTTTTTTGTATTACCGTTGATGAACTTCTAAAAGAACTTTTACTACAGGAATTTCTGGATATTGCACTCCAAAAAGAAAGTGGCTGGCATAAAACTCAAAAATAATAAATCACAACAAAAATGTTTATTGATCATAGCAAAAAAAAAAATCAACAGAATTTTTTTTATTTTCCATACAAAATTTTTTCCTACACAAAAATCAGTCTCTTAATTAATGAAGTTTCCAAATGAAGAGATTTGTCTTCAAAATTACACAAGTATTATTTTAATAATTTTGAGTGAAGGGTGGAGCAGTAGAAAAATGTGCCTCTGCACAAAATGAAAGTTGAGAACTCGGAAGGTTCAACTAGTGGATTCTACTGTCCGCTTTCTTAAAACACAAAATTGAGATTCACAACACGAAAAGCGAGAAAAAGATTGGCCTAAATTTTAGATATCAAAAATACGAGAGTATTCAAACAAATTGATATGTGTGGGTGGACATTCCAAGACAATTACAGTAAACTTAGGTCGGATGTTTCATCCTGGTTGGCTCGTCAGAGTTTTGTGTATATCAAGATAGATACTAGTTCGTGACTAAAGTTCAAAACCTCGTATTTTGACTGCAGGATTTCAATATTTTCATGCATCATGTTTTATCTATTCTTTGGAAAGAAAACAAAAAATATTATGACTTTTTTTCATGAATTTTTCTTTTCAAAAAAAATGTCCAAGTATGATGTTGATTTTTTTCCCTTCAAAAATTTATGATCAGTCGCAAAAATTTGAAATGCTGCAATTAAGAAACGCGGTTTTGGAGTTTGTCGGCTCCCTTCAATTACGGGATATATTTTAAACTGCCGGACCTCAGCAATAGTGGCAAGTTTTTTGGAGGGAACTTAAAAAATCTTACTTAAAGTCGATAATAAAAGACTAGATGTTTTTCTCTCGTACGAATAAAACAATTTATACAAAATTAACTAAATTCTCTGTAAAATATTGATGAAAATCTCCGGACTGTACGCAATCCTCGAAAATTGAATATAGATTTCAATGAAAGATAAAAACATCAGTAACGAAGAGCGTAAAATAAGAGAAAATTAAATAAAATTAAAAACAAAAATAAAAAATAAAATAAAATGCGAAAGTCTTCCTTTTCAGACTTAATCTTTAACCGATATTAAGTTTTTATAAACATACGAGTAAAATGAGCAATTGATTTGTGTCATTATCTTAAGGATACATTTATAAAAAAAAGAAAGAAAAAAAGTATCTGGGCTTTGACATACAAAACGACGTGGATCATTTATCCTTTTTTAGTAACATAGAGTTAATATGGCTCCATTCACAAAGTTACCTCACAATTGTTATAAAGTACGATTTTTCCTCGTGTTGATTAACGTAGGTACAAAAAATTGCACTGTCCCCGGCGTTTGCGAAAACAGACGGATTAAGCACCAAGTCACAGCCTTCATGACTGCATTATTCAATTTAATAAATTACTAAAAAAAGTTATTACTAGCGTTAATAGAACTTACATTAAATGTATAAAATAATAGTGAAGAGAGATTTTTTTTTTCTTTATATCTAACGTAAGAATAAATTGCTCTAGAGGGGATCAGTGAATTAACAGGGGAGGAACCAATTTTCATTCATTAAATTGATGAGAAATTAGCTTTTCGGGGTTTAAAAGGCCAGGGATCTATATGGTACAAGCAAACTTCAAGAGTCTACATAACTTTTCACTAATATCCTTTCAGCTTCATCAAATAGCGGTTGATAGTCTCTCAGAAGAAATTGAGCCTACTTATTAGGCATTAATGTATTCATCAATATTCGTAAAATGAATGTGAGATCCAATTTTATTAAAAACCGTGTTTATTTTTAGGGATAACCTTTCTGGTAATTAAACCAATATTGAGCAATAAAATCGCATCTAATATTTTTCTCATTAACCAGCCAAAAAAAATGTCCAGAGAAGTACAATTAAGAATTAAATACAGGCATAGATAATTTTTTCAACAGATAAGGTTTATGGACAGATTAGTTATTTGTTGTAAAACACATACATCAAACAACACGTGTTTTTCAAAGTGTTAAAACTGTATAAGCTATAAAATTCTGTTCATTGTAGTAACTCGCAAAAATCAATTCTGGATTTGTCTTAAAATGTGTTTTGAGTTGATGGCTTCATACTGCATTTTCCGGTGAAAGAGGGATACAAACAAGTTTAAAAGTTCAAATTACTCATACAGTGAGTTTTATGATCAATAAACTGAAACGAGGAGCTGAAAATTGAATTGATAACAGCAATATTTCGTTTTAGCAAAGTTGAATTCAAAATAATAAAAATCACTGACACATCGTTTTTAAGCGTGCCAGTAGGGCTCGCTTTTTGAAATCACTTGGATGTACCATAGTACAGCACACCGATAAACCAATGCTATTCAACGGGCCGTCCAAATATTTTTTCCTCGGACCCGTTTTTTTGTCTTTGAACCGTTATACTGCCAAGCCCTGGTGGTCTTTTACCAAAAAACTGAATGAACTGCTGATTGGAAACCCTTGAGAACATTTTCCGGTCAAAACCGTATTATTTCATTTGACAGATCCTTCAAAAACCCTTTTTTACGCTAGAGCGATTTGAATCTAGAATATTTTTTCCCGCCGCACTNAAACATACGAGTAAAATGAGCAATTGATTTGTGTCATTATCTTAAGGATATATTTATAAAAAAAAGAAAGAAAAAAAGTATCTGGGCTTTGACATACAAAACGACGTGGATCATTTATCCTTTTTTAGTAACATAGAGTTAATACGGCTCCATTCACAAAGTTACCTCACAATTGTTATAAAGTACGATTTTTCCTCGTGTTGATTAACGTAGGTACAAAAAATTGCACTGTCCCCGGCGTTTGCGAAAACAGACGGATTAAGCACCAAGTCACAGCCTTCATGACTGCATTATTCAATTTAATAAATTACTAAAAAAAAGTTATTACTAGCGTTAATAGAACTTACATTAAATGTATAAAATAATAGTGAAGAGAGATTTTTTTTTCTTTATATCTAACGTAAGAATAAATTGCTCTAGAGGGGATCAGTGAATTAACAGGGAGGAACCAATTTTCATTCATTAAATTTATGAGAAATTAGCTTTTCGGGGTTTAAAAGGCCAGGGATCTATATGGTACAAGCAAACTTCAAGAGCCTACATAACTTTTCACTAATATCCTTTCAGCTTTATCAAATAGCGGTTGACAGACTCTCAGAAGAAATTGAGCCTCGTTAGTAGGCATTAATGTATTCATCAATGTTCGTAAAATGAATGTGAGATCCAATTTTATTAAAAACCGTGTTTATTTTTAGGGCCTTTCTGGTAATTAATGGATCTAAAACCAATATTGAGCAATAAAATCGCATCTAATGTTTTTCTCATTTACCAGCCAAAAAAAATGTCTAGAGAAGTACAATTAAGAATTAAATACAGGCATAGATAATTTTGTCAACAGATAAGGTTTATGGACAGATTAGTTATTTGTTGTAAAACACATACATCGAACAACACGTGTTTTTCAAAGTGTTAAAACTGTCTGAGCTATAAAATTCTGTTCATTGTAGTAACTCGCAAAAATCAATTCTGGATTTGTCTTAAAATGTGTTTTCAGTTGATGGCTTCATACTGCATTTTCCGGTGAATGAGGGATACAAACAAGTTTAAAAGTTCAAATTACTCATACAATGAGTTTTATGATCAATAAACTGAAACGAGGCGCTGAAAATTGAATTGATAACAGCAATATTTATTTTTAGCAAAGTTGAATTCAAAATAATAAAAATCACTGACACATCATTTTTTTTTATTTTTTTTAGGACTGGTTGTATCTCTTCATCCACCGGAGGCCTCAATAATAATTTGCGGATCATAATTCTGTGTCTTTCCATAGAAAATATACTTTTTCAAACATTAGCTCGGCTGCTACTTAAAAGTTTGTGTTTGCATACAGGTAACTCAATCAAAAAGGATCATTATGAAAGTATACAATACATATAAATACAATTTTTGAAAAATTGAATATAACCTACGTTGGATCGGTGTTTAGAGGGGTAGTATTATCCATCACCTCCCCGGGCAAATGGTGTTTCCAGCTTCTGAATAAGTACCTGGTGAATTTCCTTAATTGTCTAAATTTACAGTAAGTCGCACCCTGGTCAGATTCCAGCTGTTGCGTTTGTATCAAGAAGCCTTTCTCCTTGAACGTCTTCTCCAATTTTTCTCTGGCCAGTGATTTCCTACTCTTCCTCTTGTTTATATTCATAGAAGTATTGTTTACACTGGGTGTCGTAACATTATTTACAAACCTATTCTGATTGCATTTGAACGGCTCACTGTTGCCGAGGCTATATTTCAAGTTCCCCGTGAAATCTACAGAGAGCATTTTTTTCTCCTGTAAAATCGGCACGGGGCCACCGGTGAATTTGAACTTGCACATTGAGACTTCGTTATTACTAGGGCATGGACCGGTGGACTGAGGCTCGGGGATATGAAATCCGGGGAAATTCCTCATTCCGGGTGACAAATTGATGCCGTTATAAATATCACAAGGCTTTACGGGGCTCGGTTGAGGATGGACCTTGGACGGAGCCGTGGAGTTTGAGTGGTTCAGGTCCCTGAGACACAAGTTGAGCGGTTCTTCATCCAAAATGGTCGTTCCGTAGTTCTTGTAGATCAAATGGCAGATGTCGGCTTTTTTGGGCTTTCGTCCGCGTCGTGGTCTGGCGTTATCCAGAGTCATTTCTCCCATGTATGGTAGGTCCGTGTAGCGGACTTGACAGGAATCTGGCTTTTTCGCACTCATCATTTTGACACCCCCGACGCCCATGGGCCCGGAGCTGCTCGAGGATGATAATGAATTTGATGCGGATTTGGCCTTCATTGCTGCTGCGTTCGCGAGGGTTTGTTTCGACAGAGACGCCTCGTAGTGGTCCAGGTATTCGGGTGGCAGAGCCTGGTGGTGGAACTTCAACTTCCAGCGGGATTTTCGGCGGCTCCTGGAACAGAATTTGTTCGTCAAATTAAAAACTTGCCATAATAAAATAACAGGAAAACAGTGAAATTGGATTGCATTTTGCAAAAAGGAACCACTAGCATTGCAATGATGCTAAGATTGTGCAACTTCATCCTTTGCAATAAAATTGCGGAAATTGTGAAAAACTATGAAATTTAGATGGTAATTTTTGTCTTAAATTTACATTTTTAGCGAGTAAAATAGAAACTATTAAGGGATAATCGGGTTTTTCCTCCAAGACAAAAGAAGTTGCACAATCTTAGCAACATTGCAATGCTAGTGGTTCCTTTTTGCAAAATGCAATCCAATTATTAATCAACTTTTCTCACTGAACACGAGGAAAAAAACTTCGTGCACAGGAGCCGAAGTTGAGGTCATGTGGATCTCTGGAGTTTTCGGATTACGCACCCGAAAACTTGAAGTCCAGCTGCTGAAGTTTGGGTCAGACACCTGAAGTACTTTTGTATGTTTTGGGTGTGACCCAAACCCTTCGGTATATACCGAAGTACTTCAGATGTCTCACTCAAACTCCGGCAGCTGAACCTCAAGTTCTCGGACGCGTGATCCGAAAACTTCAGAGATCCATATGACCTCAACTTCGGGTCCCATGCACGAAGTTTTTTCTCCGTGAAGAAAATAGTTCTGTTCACAGAGCTCCTGCACTTTCTTTGTTACAGCTATAGAAGTTTCGTTTATGAGAACAGAGCACTCTGTGCTGTGCTTACGATCGAAATTCTGTTCTCACAACAGAAAAATTCTGTAAGTATAACTAAGAAAATGCAGGAGCTCTGAGAACAGAAGGTTCTGTGATTAGCACTGACCATTTTTCTACGTGATGGTTGTTATTAGCTATTAAGGACTTTAGATTATAAATGATTTGCAAAACATTGATGAAAACATACGTCTATAATCCAGAGAAAATAGTTGATGGCACAAGTATGCCCGGAAAATAAAGAGGATCTTCTGGAATTCCTCTGACTTCTCGTAATTCGACTGCGTATTTGGTCATTTTTATACCAACGATTTATAACTAGTGATTTTTACTAGAAGGCGGAAAAGATACAAAGAATTTCCGATAATCTATAACTCTCTCGAAAATTTGTAGAGTGAACAACATTTTTTTCGCAGTGACAAAGATCTCGTTTTCTGATCGTTTCACTTCGTAAAAGTTTTGAAAATTATTGATTTTAGTTTCTTTTTGCTTTTATTTTAAGTTATATTCTGTAAGGTTATCTGTTAACGCAAATGTTGATAAAAAAAAAAGTTCGGTCGAATGAACCCTTGACATGTATAAACTAGAGAACGGAATGAATGCACAACCAAAGTTTAAACATAATCAGAAAAGGGGCCCATCTTAGGTAGATCAGGTTTGTTATACGGCCAATAATATCTACAATCAAATAAATTTGGAATTTTTTCAGAGATCAATATGTAAATCCACTCGTTGTATCAGTTCTGAACAGTGCACATTACCGTATGCAGCTTCATCATGAAACGCCTTCAAATTGTGCCGCAGGCAACACAACGGGCACACCGTGCTTCTAGGTTCTCGAGTAAACATATGCTCGCTGTGTCATAGACGAGCATTCTTTGACCGTTCGAATGCAGTCAAATTCATTTCATTTATAGTATTCATCGCCAGAAGATTTTGTGAATAATTTCCGCAGGTTTTTTAATTTAAAGACACGATGATGGAAGAATTTTTAGACTTATCTTTAACCTCTTAGAGCTATCAGTAAAAGAGAAAAAGAGAGTGAGGAGGAAAACATACTAAATTAAACGAAGGACGAATTGTTTTTGAAACTTCGTGGAGATACATTTTTTTGGGAATGCTTGAACGTTGGAAAATTTTTGTCTTCATTTGAATCTTTTTAAGACCCCTTAAAAGGCGAGGAGTGAACTATTTACACCATAAGTCCATTTTAGTTTTCTCAGCTAGTTTATTTCATTCGCAACTAGAGTTAATATTGTTAAGTTTCATTATGGAGTATGAATGAACATTAATCTCTAGTTTTTAAGTTATTTTTTTATAGATTCTGAACGATTCACGGGTAGAATATCTGATAAGGAAATACGATTAAATGAGGTTTCAACACTGTCTGCTTAGTACACTGAAAAAACAACTGCTAAAATCAACACATGAAATAGTGAAAAAAGGTGACAACTCATCAATATAGATTAAGAACACCGGGTTGATTTTACTGATTTGGTGATTTGTCACCGTATTTTAGCAATTTTTTTTCAGTGTATGTATCCAGACAGACGCAAACAAGATGGTCACCGCCCCTGCAGAATTTTGCCGGTACAAAGTTGATGCTGTATCAGAGAACGTCTGCCGCATTAGTGTGCTTACTTCCATTTGTAAGGTAAAGGACCTACCACATCAGATATGTCCCGCCACGTCGCATCACGTAATTTTTTCGTCTGGACGTGACTACGAGTACGTCAGTACGTGGAGATGCGACGATAAACGACGTGAATCTATTTGACCAAGACTAAATATTTCTAACAGAATATTTGATGCCTCTCCTAATCTAAAAGTCGCTCATCATTGTTAGAGTCCCTTTATACTGAGAGTCAAGACAATGTGAATCCATTTCTGATTGGATCCCGTATTTTAGGCCTTCACTGTGTCACAAACGGGAATAAAGATTACATATTCACCGATTGCAAAGATTATAATCTGGAATGGACCAGGGAATTACGGGTTCGACAAGGTACAAACGGAATGAGAGAAGGAACGGAGAAAGGAATTTGAGAATGGACCGATCAAGGATTACGAAAAACGTTCAATTTCTGTAATCTTAATTCCCGTTTGTGACTCCATGAGGGGAGTTGTCTTGACTCTCAGTATAAAGGGACTCTAATCATTGTCTTCTGCCAAAAATTAAATTCTGAGGCCAATACTACTTTTCGCCTAATGATGATCGATGAGCAATGCGTTGCGCAAATATTCTAATTAAATTCACACAATGATGACTGTTGAGCACTAACTATGTACTATACTCTATCCCTGCCAAAAAAGTCCCTTGCCTTTTTTCATGGAAACGTCCGATTCCCATGAGATTTGGCATGGGAATCAGCACATTTCCAAGAGAATGGCATGGAAATCACATCATTACCATGCAAGTTTCATGGGAATGAGGTGATTTCCATGCTACTTGGGTAGCCTGTCATTCCCGTGCATCATGGTAACATGATGATTCCCTTGAAATTAGCATGGNAACTAGAGTTAATATTGATAAGTTTCATTATGGAGTATGCATGAACATTAATCTCTAATTTTTAAGTTATTTTTTTTATAAATTCTGAACGATTCATGGGTAGAATATCTGATAAGGAAATACGATTAAATGAGGTTTCAACACTGTCTGCTTAGTAATATGTATCCAGACAGACGCAAACAAGATGGTCACCGTCCCTGCAGAATTTTGCCGGTAAAAAGTTGATGCTGTATCAGAGAACGTCTGCCGCATTAGTGTGCATACTTCCATATCGACGGTGAAACTACCAAACCACGTATCTCGGTTTGCGACGTCGCAGACTTCCTTTCATACTTTATTTTTTAAATGAAAAACTACTTAACATCCAGTCTTAAAAATTTCTGTGATTTTTCCTCTTTGTACGGAGAAAATTCCGTGAAAATTTCAAGGAATGATATTGATTTGGTCTACTTCAAAAAAATAAAATGTGAGCGTAGATTTTTAAACACCGCAATCGAGATACGTGGTTTGGTAGTTTCACCGTCGATTTGTAAGGTAAAGGACCTACCACATCAGATATGTCCCGCCACGTCGCATCACGTAATTTTTTCGTCTGGACGTGACCACGAGTACGTCAGTACGTGGAGATGCGACGATAAACGACGTGAATCTATTTGACCGAGACTAAATATTTCTGACAGAATATTGGATGCCTCTCCTAATCTAAAAGCCGCTCATCATTGTCTTCCGTCAAAAATTAAATTCTGAGGCCAATACTACTTTTCGCCTAATGAAGATTGATGAGCAATGCGTTGCGCGAATATCCTAATTAAATTCACACAATGATGACTGTTGAGCACTTAGCTAGGCGAGTTTTTGCAAAGTAGGTTGTGATTGCTGAACCAATTACTCAACGTTTTGATCAGGACTTCATGAGTAACAGTAATCATTGGGCGAATCTGAGCGTTGACTTCCGGAAATAATTTTTACACCTCAGGGAAGGCAGTACAAGTTGCGGGTCCAGTGGCACATTGGCAACCCCTACATTTCTTAGTCGTCTCTGATTTAAATATTCGCCTGGTGTCCATTTGCTGGACCCCCATGGAAAATAACACGGAGTTGGGGTTCATTTTTCATCGAATATTTCTCGGAAGCAATGAAAAGTGTATACGTAGGAAGTTTTAAAAAGCAATGATCCAGATTTTTCTGAGGAAATAATTGAGGCGTTGGTTGCAAAAAGGGTATTTCTTAGTTGAGGTGTTTCAGAATTTCCATTGCTAATTTTTAATCTAGAGAAGAAACTATGGGGTGAATTTTCTGAAATTTACGTTTTCAGCAGTATAAAATCATAATGAATATTTAGTAAAAGTTACAACAAATTACATATTATGTTCTCCAATAATTGTTCGATTTAGAAACCAAAGATATTCTCGTACTCAATTTTCAAGATGAAAATCACAAAATTTAAGAAACCTGCTTATTCTCTATTGAAGCTTATTATGTGAGATAAATTTGCTCTCTTAGAATAGACAACTATTCGAGCTTTCCGGTAGGTTTCCATCCTTATGCGGAAAATTGAAGGCGAACTCTCAGGTGGACTAAGAACTGATGCGCAAGTGATTGCATACTTTTCAGGCTGTCTTTAAAAACCACGCATTATGAGTGCTTCCGAGCCACTCTAAAAAAACAGTAATCTCCGGGTTTTACGGAACTGTAGACACCCTGATCTAGGGAGAGCGGGTTCAGCTGGAGAATATCTCTCATCGATAACCGGAAAAAATAATCGGCAGAAAAAATGTTTGAGGTCGATACTCAAATCCCGACGGACCGAACTCTGTCTTGCGAGAGAACGTCTTATGAGCCCTCGGACGTTGCCAAAATTCGTGTGATAAAACGGAAATTTCATGTGAAATTTGTGATTTTTCCCCCTAATGGAGAATGTGCACGCAAGTTTTTTATTGCTTCATCTGAAAGTGCCTAAAGAGCTGATTTTGCAGTATTTCTTACAAAAATTTTCTGCGGTGGGAAATAGGATAAAAATAAATTTATAAGTGAGAAAATGCGCCACCTAGTGACGTCATCTGGCGGCATTTCCCATTTAAACACATGTATTTTAGCAGATTGGGTTATTTTGTCATATCTTTACCAATATTTGTTCAATTTATGAACCAAGGGCATCCTCGTGTTCAGTTCACTCAGTAGTTTCCACTTAAACACGAAATTCATAAAATTCAGACACCTACGAATTCTCCATTTGCCTATGAATTTTAATCGCGATTTCATCAAAACTATCTAAATATTTCAAGGAAAAATATTCATACAATACCTTACCAAAAAATAATATTAATATTATCGTGATACGCGCCGCTTTTGTTTGTGGAACTACGCACTACGCAGTTCACTTAGAGACTTTTTCTGTTCTTTGCCCCCCCCCCTCTCTTTTTTTGTAGTTCAGTATTTTTTGCTGTTTCACTATAACGGACGTGTACGAAATAATTTATTTCCGTGTTCTTTGTCCTGTTTACAAAAGTTAACCCTCTTTCATTGTTTCGCAGCCCCTAGGTTCCCTGACCGGACCGCCAAAGAAACAAAACAGGGGATTTCCATGTCCTGATTACAATGACGCACGTGAGGTCCATCATCCATCTCGCAGTGGAACAAAGGACCCCTCCCTACGCACCACCTGACTAATGATGTTTACGATGGGATGCTGCACCCCTTCCTAAAATCCGTAAAGTTCGGGTTTCCCGCCACTGGAAAACAGGAAAAAGTTTCTGGAATACACCCTAATTGCGAGAGGGGTCAGCAAGGGAGGGGGGGTGGGATCGTTTGTGGTGGATACAGACAAACAGGATACGAGCTTATAAAAGGGAAACCCCAACCCCTAATTTCAGTCAGTTTGGGTTCAGTAAGTGAAGTAGTTCAATGGGCGAGCAGGCCAGTGGGTCAGTGATGTTGTGTTGTGTTGTAGTGGTGTAGTGGTGCAGTGCAGTCGGATACTGGAATTGCAACACTTATACTGCAGGTTCTAATCCGTGAGTACAGCGTATGATACCTTATTCATAACTTCTACTGTCACAAAATTTAATGTTTAAAATCTATATCCTCTACAATTCGAAAACTTATTTTTTATTTTTTTTTTTCATTTCAAAATTTTTATCTTTCAAATTTTAGATTTAAATTTTTACTTTATAAATTTTAAGATTTTAACTTTTCAATTTCATTTTTATTTTAATGTTTCACATCATTTTTCCAATCTATTCATACTCAATAGGTCAATAGTACACAACTACTACCACAACTATATACTTACTTACCACTCATACTATACTTATTTACTTACTGTATTTACTATACT